CCCATGGTAAATGAAAAATATGACATTTGGTTTACCAGTGGAGTTACATCCATATATATAGAGCATCATTATTATTGAGGTTAATGAACATTATGGTTTTTGTTCTATTATTGTGTTGCTTGGATGGTGATTAGATGGTTAGGTATATGTGCGACAAGATTTAATTGAAAAGTTTAATTGATTTTGATGCAATTATGTGACTTTGTATAGATTCATTGGGTGTGTTAAGGAATTGTTACAAACCTTATCGTGTTTTAGTACTTTTGCCTATTATGATAAGTGAATTACTTTATCTAATATGAGTCATTTGATTGCCTCCCGATATAGCTTCGTGCTAGCCACATCAATTTGAGACAATGTCTGACATATCTTCCTATTAAATTTGTACCATCTGCACCATTAAAGCACCGAATAATTACAATTGGATTTATTAATGATTATCATTTTATGTAGGTACTATTAATTAGTATTGTCATTTAATGTTTATATTTATCATTCCTATTTTATGCAAGTGTTAATTACATTATATAAATAACATTCTTGTTTTATGCAAGTGTTAATAAAGCCATTCTCACTAATACCTCTAATTGTATGCAATTGACATAGGAGTCGATATAATTGTACTCTAGGGTGAGAGATTTCATATGTACCCGACATTAAAGATTTTAAGTTATCGTTTAGTAAAAATTCTGATGTGGCCACTCAAGAAATAATACACATTAATCGATTTTTTTGTAATAATTGTTAACAATTTATATTAATATTTGTGGTTTAATATTTGTTTATGCTTTATATATTGAACATGTTATTTAATGGGATGTGTCATATTAAATAGGTAATCTAAGGGATATTTTATAAATATGAACTAAATATAAAATCAATATCTACATAAAAATATTAGTACATAATAATAAATATATCAATCCTTATCACTCGACCTTTTGACTTAAAAATATACACACGTTAGACAAATAGGCTCTATTATCTATATGAAATTTTTTAAAAAGGTCGATACTATCATCTTTGCAAAGGGAAAAACTAGGCAAAGGTGATGTTGTGGTCACTACTACTAGTGTTAAGGATGGCATGGGCACGAGCGAGCTGAGAGGTGGTAATGTTGATAGAACTAGGGATAGAGTGGGCATGAATGGGCTTGAAGGTGTCGATGTCAATGGGATTGGGGATGGAGTTGACATAAGCATTTTAACCGGTCTAGGTGGTTTGAATGCATAAACTGATGGTGTAGGAGTCAATGCTGGTCTAGATTAACTGCTACTACCTACTGTAGTAGATGAACCAGACAAGAAGGCATGTACTATGATAGTTACATATTTTCATATGACAATACTTTGATCAAATTCGCTAGACAATACATGTTCAATGAAAGATAAAGCAACTGAGCTTTGGTACAAAATATTAATAAGGTTATCAATATTAATATCATATAATTAAAATTAACAAAGTAATAAAAAACCATAAAATGATAAAATTTGTTACTTATTAAATCACTTATAAGAGCAGTATCTACTAGTTGATGTTGGAATCTAGATTAACGTTCAAGATTTTAAATTTGACGGTGTGAAATTGTTACGAACCAACCATCATAGTCAGATGAACACTTTCTCAGCATCCATAATCTTCGACCTCGACGCTCAATCGACACAACGTGTATATCCTATCTATACTAATATTGGTGCAAAGACTGATATGCAACATTATACTAGTTGGACGATGCTTTTCGATTAGCATTAGATGAGGCTAACAAGGTTAAAAGAATTGTTTGTACAAATTTGAACTATCGTAGAACCTTTTTCGAATGATACAGCACTACAATTATCTCACACTTGATGCATCTAGTAAAAAAAGTAATATCATGCAATGGATGTGTCTTTCGTCGATCGATGTATGATTCATAGCATATATCAAATACTATCAACCCATTTAGGCGCTTCTATAAGGCTTGCAACATATTAGCATAAGTACAAGCCTTTCATTTTTTAGCACGCAATAGATCGTCTAAATATGTCAATATGGCCACTAGGCTCAATAATATAAAGTATTTGTAAATCCATGCCTAAATGAAATACAAAAGTAATATTTAACTAGATAATCACATCTATGAGTAATAATAAATAAATCAAATAATTATAAATACTTGGAAAAATGTCAAATATCCAATGATTTGATGCATATTTGCCCTACTCACAATGCCAAGCTGTCTATAAAAATAAGTGAGGCAAGCTATCTGCCAAGCAAATCTACCTGTGGCAGTGAGGTTGGTTAGTAGAGGTAAGTACGCTATCGATAATCTCTTCATGGTTTTGTCAACAAATAGCGTATACCTAGCAAATGGAATAGAAAAGCTCAAAATGCATAAACAATCGTCTCATCATCTAATGCATCAATGACATGCCTAAAGGTATCCCACAGCCACTAGAGTCTAATAGCAGATCCCTTAGCTCACATAGTTTTTGCTCTAGCCTTATTTGCAAAACTTCAAGTAACCTTACTAGTACTGTGTTCACCTCATCAATCATCAAATAATTCATTGAAATCGTGGTCTACTGAGTGACATATGTAGAAGAGCAAAAACATCATCTAATGTGATAGTCATCTCTTCGAATGGCATATGAAAGGTGTTTGTCTTTTACTACCACCTCTTAACAAAAGTTGATACTATCATGTTATTGATGATACAATAGGTGCAATCGATGAGTGACAACAACCCCGACTAAACAACATTGGCTTGGATACGTATGTGTGCATAATCTAGATGCCATATTGTAACTTCGGCCCATAGTTAATCGATTTCATTGTATCTCATTTCTGTAATAATAACAACAACAATAACAACAAAAATAAGATCAACAACAACATCACTAAATCAACAACATCACTAAATCAACAACATAAACAATAATATTAACAACGCTAATCAACTAAGGCATTCTAAAGAAATAAGCTAACATAATTCGTATTGTATGATTTAGGCGATTATTTGGTCATTCCAAATTTGTAATGCAATATGAAATCCAAAACTCAAAAGAATCAATGTATTAACTAGACCTCCAAGAAATAATTCCACCTACTCATGTGTGGTAGGTGCGACAACCCCCTCATAATGCATGGGAGGCTCAGCTTAAGAGATGTTATCTATTGTATGGTTTTCTGACTCACCATCCCCTCTCTTAGTGTTTCTTCTTGAAGGCAATCGAACACCTCTAACTCTAACTGGGATCAATTTTGATTCCTTTACCTTTGCTAAGAATGCCTCTACCTCGTGTACAAGCCATATCTATAACAAAAAAACAACTTATTAAGCTTATAAAATATATTTAACAAACCCTAAACTTGAAAGAAAAATCATTATTAATGGTCTAATAATATTAATCAATACTATTGTTGATTCACTTGTAATGACAAAACATTAAAGTTAAAATTTGAAATAAATTACTTTGAACTCAAAAAAAAAAAATTTATCAATAATTTTTTAAATAAAAAATGACTTGAGACCAAAACAAACTTTTTTCCTCAATAAAAACATGTAAGCTTTTGAGTTTGGACGGGATCGATCTTCTTTGCATAAGGGATCGATTATTTTTATACAAAAAAAGAACTTGATTTTAAAAGGGCATAAAGGATCGATCTTATCTCAAAAATCCATTTTCGTAAAGCTTGAATTCTACGTTGCCAAAATCGTAAATGCTAACCTATTTTCGCATACATTTAAACTAAATCAAAAGAATTAAATCACTAAATCTTACCTATAATAAGTGAAAAACTAAAAAAAAAAAATTTGATTTTAGGGTTTGATGGATGAATTTATAGAGGGTTAATTTTGGATTGAGAGTGAAGAGAGAATAAGAGAAATTGGTTTAAGGGTATGTAAGGAAAATGGATTGTTAAAGGATTTAGTGTATTTAGTAGAAATAGGAATTTTAATTTTGAATTTGGGATGTATTTAGTAATTGGGTGTAAAGAGTATTATGTGGAGTTTTTAGAATTCCCTAAAATACACTAGTAATAAAGATGAAGAATTGAAGATGAGGGTGAGAGGAACAAAACCCTTTCTTTGCACTATGTTTAGATTAAAGGAAGGTGAACGAAAGGAAACTAAGGGAAATAAAAAAAAAACATTTCCTTTGTTTGGTTTATTATTTATATTTTAATTTAAAAAAAAGAAATTGAACATCCCTCCTTTTCACTCAAAAGCTTCAATTTTTAACTACTCCAAACGGGAGTAAACAGAAAGGAAAGGAAATGATTAAAAAAATTTTAATATAAAATAATTTTTATATCTTTATTATATTTTTATTATTTTTTAAAAAATACTATTATAATATTCAAATTTAACCATTGATACTATCTTTAAATCTTTTGCATCTTTTTTCTTAAATATTTTTTCGGTCAATAACTTCGAATTATATATATTTTTAATTATGTTTAGGTCTTAATTTTTTTTATTTTGTTATTGATTCACAAATTTTAAATAATAAAAATAAAAGAACATGACAAAACATTTGTAAGGGTAAGAAAATTCCCATACTTAAACATATTTATGATTAGTTTTATCTTAATAATAAACATTTAAGTTTTTAATTTTCTCATTTATAGATCAATTTTGATAAAAAAAATATTGTTGTATAAAAATAATTTCGAACATATATTTTTATGAATTAATTATTAATAATATTCTCTTTAATTAAAATTATTTTTATTAATTTTTAAATTTATTTAAAATAGTTAATATTAAGATTATTCATATTATAAAAAAAAATTTATTTTAAAAAAGTATAATTGAAGTAATATAATACAATATCTCCTTTTTTGTTCATAACTTTACGGATTGTAATTAATCCATTCTTTTCTTTTTCCTTTACTCATTTTAGTTACCAAACAAAAATAAAACTGTCACTCCTTTTTCTTTAAAAACCTTTTCATTTTTTTTCTTTTTTTTTTTTTTCCAAACTTCAACGCTCAATTACAGTTAAGAAAAAGGGGGTGTTTGAGTTCGACTTTAATGGCGTGAAATTTGAACAACTTTTGTCCCCCTTTCCCAACTTTACTTGTTTTTCCTCTTTTATAATAATCCAACGCGAAGTGTCAGCACTGCCCTTCTCTAACGTACGCTCTAGTCCTTCTTAACCAAAGCCTCCCGAGATTCACTCCTCTGCTCTGGAAGCACGGTACTTGTCCCCTACATCCTCACTTTTTATGTTTTATTCTCATTAATTTATAATTTGTCTGTCTGAGGATTAATTGATTGCCTGCTTTTTGTATAGAGCAGGTCAGCTTCGCCTCTGTGCTGACGGTGGCGCCAACCGTTTGTACGATGAAATGCCTCTTTTGTTCCCTCTGGAAGATGCCTCTGATGTTCGATGCAGGTTTCTTGTCTTTCTTTCTCTGTCTTTTCTTGCTATATACGTTGACGCTTCGATTTTGTGTTAGTTTTAGTCCTCTTATGTAATTCAGTTGAAATCCATTTATTTTTCTCTATCTGAATCATATGACTTAAATTCTTATACAAGTTAAAATCCTTTTGAGTTTGATCAAAATTTGGTTCAACAATGGAGGATTTGTTAGAGAAATAGTTTCTTTCCATTATCTTAGTTTTGAGAACCATTTCCCAGATCTTGGTTTTTTAAATTGATGTTTTCATTCTAACTGATCCTGGTAAATGCTTTCTTTGTTGTTATTATTAAGTGATGTGATAACATAGGCACTTTGCTTAATAGCAGATACAAACCGGATGTAATTAAAGGAGATATGGATTCAATACGAACGGAAGTACTTGACTTTTACATGAGCCTAGTAAGTTTTCAAATTTCTTTTTGTAGAACTAGAATCATTTAACTGATAATTTCGATGATGTTTTCCTTTTCGATTCTAAAGCTTGTTTTCCATCCATGCGTAAGCTTGCTCCCACTTATTCTTTGCCACTCTTGTGTCCTATGTGTGGGGATGCGCTGCTCTGTTTTTATGAGCACTAGTTTCTTTTTCCTTGCATTTGAGCTGTTACATCTTTCTAGTTCATAGATTTTAATTCCTGAGACGTTTTCACTTGCTTCTTTGGTGCAGGGAACAAAGATTATTGATAAATCTCATGATCAAGACACCACGGATCTTCATAAATGTGTAACATACATTCGCGACGTTGCTCCCAATTTGGATAAGTCTAATGTATGTTAAACTTAAATGTTCAATTTTTTTTGTTGTAATAGTTACAGTTTGTGAACATTCAGGTTTTGGAAGCAGGTATTTCTTACATGTTAGGACAGGATCTGCACCATACACGCTGCATTTTATCTGTAGTGTGTGTGCTTAGATTGTTAGCTTATCATTTCTTTTTCCGGACTTAATGGCAGCTTTGCATTCTTGTTGCTGGAGCACTTGGTGGACGATTTGACCATGAGATGGGAAACCTAAATGTCATTTGTCGTTTCTCATCCCTGCGAATAGTCCTTTTATCTGATGATAGTCTCATCCATCTTCTTCCAAGGACTCACCGTCATGAGATACATATTCAAACTTCTGTTGAGGGCCCACACTGTGGACTCATCCCACTTGGGATGCCATCAACGAGTAGTACAACAACTGGGCTTCAGTGGGATCTGAGTAAGTATATGATTACATTATTCTTGTTCTCACTTTCCATTTACTAGGCTGTGGAACTGAAATGGACATAATTTCATGATTTACTCATGTCATCAGTTTATCATGCCTTGTTATGCTGCTTTACTTTTCATTTCACTCGAAAATTATACTTGTTTGGATAGCAAATGTAGTCAGATGAAGAAGTCCTAAAGGGTACATAAGATAATTTCTCTTCTAGCTTATATTTCAATCTTTCCCGTTGTCTACTGTTCTTCCATTTTCTCCCAGAGCTGTCTGCGAATTTATGTTATAATGTTATTATTATTATTTTCTTATTCCAGATAACACAGAGATGAGATTTGGTGGTCTAATAAGCACATCGAATATAGTTACAGGAGATAAAGTTATGGTGCAATCTGATTCTGATCTTCTTTGGACCATTTCCATTAAGAAGTTGTAGCCTCTATATGTGTTTTCATGAGCAGCTTAGGCTGCAGATTTCACATTTTGTAAACCTAGGATCACTTTGCTCCCTTCTGATTCTTATGCCTATAATATATCTGGATTGTTTCTAGGTTGGGACAATGTTCAAATAAAAACCGTACCATGACACCACTCATTATCTCCTTTATGATTCTTTTGCAGTATTATTCTACCATACCATTGTAAATTTAGAGGTCCAGTTAGAAATACGAAGATCTTATATCCAAGTGTTGGTCACTTATTTGTAAGCTTCAGTTTGGTTCTATATTATTTATTTATGAATGGTTGGGTTGTTGATGATGATGGTGTACGTCATTTCGAAAGGTTGTTGGCCAGGCAGCAGTGATGAAAAGCTGCAATGTTGTCCGGATGTCAACGGACAGCTTTTCTATTCTGTCCAAATTAAGCAAACCCTTTATATAGCACGTGGGTAGTAAGCCGACAAAGTTTGCTCCAATCCAGAAAGCTCTGTTCTAAATTTTAACCAATCCCTTCAAATTTAAGTTGCAAATAAAAGGGTTAATATGTAATTTGATCTGCAAATTATACTATTCTTAATAATTTGATATCCATAAAAAAGTTATAATTAATATTCAAATTTTATTTTCGTCAAATATTTTATATCAATAATTAATAACAACAGCTAAAATATTAATATAATAAGTATTGATCAATAAAAATATATATTAGGTGTGTTGCAAAAATATTATTGTTAAATTACTGGATCAACAGTCTAATGACCAAGGTGGCAAAAAATGGCGGTGGTAAGAAGGATTTGTTGTTGCTGGATTCAGTCCAAATTCCATCAACTGAGATAAAAAGGTGAAACGTGGTCCGACTTATTTCACTTTGGTGGGAACTAATCGTTAATGACAGAGGGCGAACCATTGCCAATGCAGATTTGCTTCTAACCTCATAACACATTATACGTCTCAATTCTCACCCAATTTTGACAACATCGGATTCCGAGTGTTTTTTTTTTTTTTATCATACCGCATAGGTCTAATATATTAATTTTTTAAAGAACAAAGAAAAAAAATAGTGTTCACATGGTATCTCATTTTTTTATTTTTTAATTAAATTTTATTAGTTTGGTTATTTTAATTATATTTTTTATTAAATAAATTTTGTTAAAAAAATCAATGAAAGTAGAAATAATAAAATAATTTATATTCAATTAGTTTTGATTTACACAAATCTAATATATTTAAGTTTTAAAAAAATTGAGGTTAGATCGAATTTTTTTTTAAAATGGGGTCAAATTGGAGTTGGATTTAAGTTATTTCATCTTATCTTGAATGTTCACATGACACCTCTCTCTTTTAGTGTTTTTTTTTTTAAATCTTTTTATTTTTTATTAAATAAATTTTATAATAAAAAAGTCAAATGAGATAAATACGATAAAATAATCTGTATTCAATGATTTTGATTCGCTTCAATCCAATTGATATATTTTCTTTTAATTCAAGATAATTAGGTTAAATTTTTTTGATAAATCGAATTCAAGTAAGAGCAAAGCTTTAGATATTATGCCACAATCTTGATATATATAAAAAATATTTTTTATTATTTATTTAAATCTATATTTATATATGTACTTTGTTAAAAAAATATTATTTAGTACTTTAATTTAATAAATTTATATGTGGCTATTTTTGTCATTTTTTTATCTTTTAAAATTTTATTTATTAAATAAATTTTGTGAAGAAAAAATCAATAGATATAAGAATGACAAAACAACCTACATACGATGGGTTTCAATTTGCTACAATCCAATTGATATGATTTTTTAAAATAAGAATTTGGTTAAGTTTTTTTTTTTTTTTTTGGAACAACATGGATCAAGTTGAAATTGAATTTTGGGTACTTTGCTTTGATCCTCCTTAAGATATATAAAAGAATATATTTTATTATTTATTTTTATTTATATTTATATATATGTATTATATTAATAAAGATATTATTTAACATTTTAATTTAATAAAAATTACATATATATAAATAAATTATAATTTATATTAAAAAATAAATATACTTATATTTATTTATATATTATTCATCAAAACTTGGCATAAAAATTTATTTTCTAATATTTAAAATATAATTTAAAAAAATAAAAAATAATTTTGTGATGAAACACGAATATAATTTTAGCATATTTTAAAGTTTTAATTTACCTTTAACATTTTAATCTTTATTCATTTAATTTATTTTAAAAAACATTACGCACTTAAATCTTTTTAAATTTATAATTTTTAAAAATCTAATCATCTAAAGTAATATTCAGTTGGCTTTTATCTTACCATATCTAAATGCTAATGTAAACCTAAAACAAAAGCGAATTTGAGTACAATAGGGAATAATAAATAACGAAGGATTTTCCTTCAAAAAAAAAAAAAACGAAGGATTTTCATGTGTGTACGACAACATATACTACGAACAAGTAGTACACATTGCTTTTTAGTTATGCTACTAAATTGTGTATTGACATTAAATATTGAATAATAAATATTTTAATTAAATGTTTTTCAATTTAACATTAAATATTTAATTAATAAAGAAAAAGACATTAATCATTTTTTTGCTATAGGTTATGTTTAACACACAAAATAATGATAAGATAAAATAAAATAATATTATAAATATGATTAAATTAAATAATATTATTTTATCTTATATTTAATATGTATAAGAATTAAAGTATAATAATTTATTAATTGATCAAAATTATCTAAACTTGATAATTTCATATATGACATGGTAATATGATATGAAAATAACACTAAAAAAATCGTATATGTATTTTAAAAAAACGTGTTTCGTGTTTATTTGTGTCGACATAAATTTTAATACGACATAATTCATGTCATATATATATTGATTTGTTTTAACATGAGATACAATACGAAAACACGTTTAATTTAATCTTGTTATACGAGTACATATTTAATATATTTAACATGTTTAATACATTTTTATATTTATTTGAATTTAATATAAATATATAAAGATTATTTTAATTTTTAATCTTTTAATTATGATACTTAATTAGTTATTTAATATCATATAAAAATTATTTTAAATATTTAGTTATGATACTCATTTAGTAATTATTATAAAATTATTTTTATATTACTAATATAAATACAAAATTAATATTAATATTAGTCCTATATATTATTATTTTATTCTTTAATTTTTAATAGTTTATCATTTTGAATTTGATACTAAAAATTAATATAGGTATGTAATATAAATTAAATTTTAAATATATATTAAATACATATTAAATGAGTAGTAAATATTTTTTAGTCTTTTAATATGTAAGCACTTTTTATATTATTAATATGCCAAATTTATTAAGTTGTAAATGATTAATAGTTTATTATTTATTATTTTAGTCATGTTCTTGTACACATTCGTGTAAGTCGTATCAATTTGTATATATCTGTGTTTGTCGTGTCTATTCATATGTATCTGTATTATTTGTGTTTATTTATATTGTGTTTAAGTGAATTAATTGTATATGTATTAATTGTATCATATCGCCTATAATATATATATTAAACGTGTTGTGTTTATGTTTAAGATTTAGAAACATTTTATAATTCGTGTTATATTCGTGTTTTAATAATCTATGTCATTATATGTGCCAAATATGACATGAGACATGACATGAAAATATGAATTATCAAGTCTTAAATTATCCTTCCTTAAAGTTTATACAAATTAAATTATTGATGTAATTTTTAAGAGTATAATAGGATATGTAAGTTTCTCATTAGATGGAAATCTTCAAGAACTCTGCCATTTACTAATAAGGAAATGGATGAGGTAAATAGATAACTCATAATTAAGGAGATCCAAGGTTGGGGGAGTTAAAGAACATTAGTACTTTCCTAATAAAGTCCCATTCCCTTCGATCGTACGTCTTTTCAAAATCAAGTTTCATTGTCATAAACCCTTTCTTTCCTTTCTTCTTCGTGAAAGAATGTATAAACTCTTGAAAGATGATGACATTATCGCATCCATTTCTACCCAAGATGAAGCTTGTTTGGTAGGGAGATATAATTTTGTCCAAGTGAGGTCTGAGTCGTTAGACAATAATCTTGGTAATAATCTTATATGGCAAGTTGCATAAGCTGATGGGACAAAATTGCTCGATACAGGTTGGGCTCTGACATTTAGGGATTAGTGACATTAGTGTTCCATTTAAATCCTCAAGCAGGGAAGCTTTTTGAAATGCCCTGATTATGGTATTGTATACTTTGTCTCTGACAATGTTCTAATATCTCTTATAAAACAAAGCATGCAAACCGTCAGGGCCCGAGGCCTTGAAATCCTTGAACGACCACAGCACCTTTTGGATTTCAATTTTTGTCACTTGCATTGTAAGTTTAGGGTGTGTATGGTTAGGGATGGAAGTAATGTGTTTAGGTCCCCCATGCATGGCCCATGTTCAAGGGACATGGGACATGGTAAACAGGTTCTTGAAATAAAGTTACACTATATTACAAACCACTTTCAGCTTTGTAGTCCATTCTCCCATTGAGTTTTTGAGTCCGAGGATTCTGCTAAATCTTCTTCTTCTAACGGTCGAAATATGAAACATTCCGGTATTCCTTTCGCCATCAATGATCCAATTGATTCTCGACCTGAGGGCCCGTAAGTCTTCTTTGTCCTTAAGGGTTCTATCATACTCTTCTTTTAATTATTTATAAAGGTCCAAAAGGAATTGACGTTGGGCTTTTTTGAGAGACTTTTCGATTCCTGCCAGGCGAGCAAGGAGTCTTTTTTTCCTTCAAAATACGTTATCGAAGGTGTTCTTATTCCAATGGGTTATATCTTCTTTAACCGTTTCCACAGTTTGAGCAAAGGAATGTCAGGTATGATTCCAACTCTTTTGGACCATTTGGAGGAAGTCGAGGTGGTTCGTCCATATCTTTTGAAAATGGAACGATTTAGGGTCGATCTTAGAGGATTTACCTTTGCAAGTGAGTAACATTGGACAATAGTCTAAGATTGTCGAGGCAAGTGATGTACCTTTGCTTCTGGGAAAAAAAATTTCCATTGAGGGTTTGCAAAGCCATGTCTATTCTTTCTTGGATTAGGTTAGTGATGTTCCTACAATTAGACCAAGTAAATCTTGGGCCAACAAAGCCAAGATTGGACAGTTGACAAGCATTGAGGTATTCATGAAAGGCTTGATTTCTAGAGAAGGAAAAGGGGTTCCTTTTTCTCTTGTTTTCAAAACCTAAACTTTATTAAAATCTCCTAGCGTTAACCAAGGCAAGTTATTGTGTGAAGCCACTAACATAAGATTATCCCAAAGTAACAATCTTTCTTTAGATCT